CATTTGAAATGGTCATCATGCTGTCTGGCTTTTCGGGAGTAGACCATGCTGCCTGAAAAGATGTTGAAACCACCATGAGTCAACTGAGCAACAGTCCCCGAGATGAGTGGACACCAGCATTAAGTTGCAGTTTTGTTCAGCTTTCCAAAGAAAATGTGCATCTGTCTGCAGGGCTCACAGCCTGCACATCAGGCAGTTTTGTCATCTACATGTTTTTATCATCAAATTATATATTCTGCTGTGAACTGCATGTTTTAGAATGTTACAGCATGTGTATTAATTTGTAGTTTATTTAGGATTTCTAAAGAAATTATATACAGTTACTACAAAGATAAACCTAATGAGTCAATACCAAGACCAAGTTCAAATGCAGCCCTCATTTATTAACACAGAAAATCCATACAAAATGTACAGGTTTTATAAGCATGCTTTCCTGCAACCGGGTAAAAACCCTAAGAAATGTTATGCCTATTAATAATGGCTACTGCAATAATTGAGAAATAACAATACATTCATAAAAACTCAAGCAAAGAAGTATTATTTCACCCATCTATCCCTAACACAACTCCTAACTGATGGACACAAGTGTTTTTCCATCAGAACCGTTACAGGGAAATTTCCACCTAATCAGTCTCTGTGGTCTAGGTCCCATCCCACCCCATTCATTCTCCAAGAGGCTGGAAATATTCCCAGCTCAAACCCAGATATCTCACCTCAAAAACCAGAATATAAGCTCTATGAAGACAGTATCCTTGATGATTTTATATACTACTGCACACCTACCACCCAGAACAGTAGCTAGCACACAGTAGGCACTCAGTACATACTTGCCTAATTTAAAGAAGAATAATGCAGCAGCCTCTGGATCTGAAGCCAAACTTTCTGAGTCCTGAAGTCTATTTTTTTTTTCCTACCAGACTTTACCAGAGAACATCCTGCCTTCTGGTTGTTCTAAAGGAAACTTTCCAACAAACTGCCAACAAATGAGCTGAAGGGAAGGAAAAGAATATGTTCAGTGGGTGTATAGTCACAGGACCATGAAAACTACCCAGAGCTAGACATGGAGTAACCAACTTAAACAAATAGTAGGGAAGAAGTGATGCTGCATCAAAACTCAGGTCAAGGTGGATGGTGAACCATAACTATCTGCCAAAGGAGAAAGGAAAATTTTCACAATTAGGTAAAATGTTCCAAGATAGTGAAAACATTATGAAGATCTTGAGTGGTTACCTCCAACTACATATAATTTAGACACGAAATATAAACTTCATTTGATCATTCTAGAAAAAAGTTTGGCTAAGGATATTTTTATCCAAGGCGTCTACATTTTAAATCTGTCCTTTCTCCTCTCCCATTGTGAAAAATAATTAGCCCTGTGCTCCAGAATGGGAGGTTCCTGCCACCAAAGCCAGTTCTAGACCTAGATGTTGATGAGTTTGACTTCTATTTTCTCTCCGTGCACCACCACACAAATAACGTTACTCACAACTAGAAAGCCTCAGGAAGCAGCGAGACAGGTAATGAAAAAGGCCCAGAGTTCAAATCATCAGTTATTATGTGCCCTATACACACTGCTATCTCTGATTATGAAAATGAATACCCCATTTCTAAAGGCTGATATTGATGGAAATTAACATGTTACAAGGGTAGTAATATCCTTCTTTCTTATTGAATACCTTCTTAAATGCTATGAGCCTTTGCAAACATACGATAGTATGTCTTTAAACTCAGGTGTGCAATGAGCATCTTGCTCACCCACTGATCCCCACCTAACGGCAGCTTTTTATTTCAATCACCTGGCTGATAGAACTGACATGTTCTCCCGGTGTTGTGGGGTGAAAGAGATAAATCCTAGCAGGAAGAGAAAACACAAAGTGCAGTTACAGCTGTTCTTCCTTTCACTTCTATTAACACCCTCCATCATAAAAATTCTGTGAGGGAAATTCTGTGAAGGAGTAACAGTTTTCACCCAGTCTGTAAATCAAATGCGCAATACAATTCCAAACATCCTCCTAAAAATGGTTTCCAAATCACTGAATTTAAACATCTTCATATTTTTCACACTTCAGAATTGTTTTTTCTTTAATTCATTTCTTTATTTCAATGTAACTCATTTAATTTCACAAAGTTTCTGATTTTATGGCAATATAATGTATTTTTTTTATTTCAATGTAACTCATTTTATTTCAGGAGCTTTCTGATTTTACAGCAACACTAACAATTCTATTCAGAAACAGTCTCTCCAAACACCAATTATACATGATTTTGGTTTCCTATTCCAGATTTTTTCCCCAAAACTCTTGGTTCTGTGGACATAATTTTATGAGTCAGATATGCCCTGGCCAGTGTGGTTCAGCTGGTTGGGCATCATTCCTCAAAGCAAAAGGCTGCTATTCCTGGTCCGGGCAAATGCCTGAGTTCCAGTCTGGTCCCGGTCAGGGCACACAGAGAAGGCAACCAGTGGGCTTCCCTCTCATCCGTGTTTCCTCTCCTTCTCCTTCTGCCTCCCTTCCCCTCTCTCTAAAACAATTTAAAAAGTAAAATTTCAAAAGGGTCAGTTATGATAGACGTCATCTTTCTGTTGCAGAAACTGCTCTATAAAATGATGTTGACAAAGAATAATGATATAGTTTAATAATAAATGATGAAAATAGAATTAAATTACAACTCTAAAACATTTCTACTGATATTGTGATTCATCTTTTGGAAACTTTTCACCATATACTGATTTTAAATTAAAATTAAAACCCTTTGTAGCTACTAATTTGTGATTTTTATTTTCTAAAAATCAGAAAATACTGATATTCAACAATTAAGAAGAGTTAAGTATAACATTGCATATCCTTCAACAGCATATTAATGAATTTAAAATGGTTAAAAACCTCATGTAATAAAAGCTTATGGAAAAATAAGACAAAACAGTTTGGAGAGTATAATTAAGTAAAATGCACAAAGATTAAAAATCTGAAGAGGATAAGCAAGGTTATAATTAGTATGCTAGGGTGATGGAATCATGAATTCACTTAAAAATATTCACTTTTTAAAACGTGTGTTCTTACGTTATTTTTATAAAGGAGCAAAATAAAATCTAAAGAAGTTCAAAGGTACTACAGTGAGACTAGATGACAGAACACAACGGGTGCCAGAGTCAACGGAGAAGCATGGTCGGCTGAAACAGGCGCAGGTTCACACAGTCCCTGAAAATCTTCTGCATTGGAAGCACTGGGGGTCCCCCCTGCACTGCCCCGAGACTCTCCCCTGCATCCCAACATATCCTAAGCTCTTTACTGCGCAAAACAGAATTCAAGAAAATGCGACCATACGCACATAGAAAAGATGTTTTTGCCATACTAAAGAAATTCTGCTACAGGAACTAGTATACAACACATGGACAACAACTAACGGGGGTGGAAATGGGAGGGAGGTGGGGAGCACTGGGGGGGTGAGCTGGGATGGGAGTAATAGACAGAAAACTGGACTTGAACAATAATTAAATAAATTTTTAAAAAAGAAGAAAAATAATAAAGAAACTATAAAAACTTGAAAAAAAAAGAAATTCTACTATTCTAGTAACTCAATTCCTTGAAATGAAGTTGAAGAGGAATCCCAAGCTTTTACCACATTCCTTCTGTAAAACCAAATTCTCCTCTCCTACTTCCCCCAAACTGCAGGGTGATGTTTATGGAGAAAGTGAGTCTGACATGAAAAGATAACTCAGGACTCCAACTCAGTTCATTACTTAAACCAAGAGAAATCAAAATGTAAACAAGACAAATGATGAAAAAATACTAAAGTTCCCAAACATTCCAGTTTTGTTTGTTTAACACGAGAATGTTTGTTCAAAGATTATTAAATCTGCTAGTGGGGCAAGAACTTCACAGAAGAAAACAAGTTCATTACACTGAGAATACAGTATAAGAACCTGTCCATGGTACATCAAGTAAGGAAAAATCCAGTAAATCTCAATCCAGGTGTCAATTACTCCTGTAATTTTGTTCTATGAGCATATAATACTTTTATATTTTTGAAAAACTAAAAGACTTTTTAAAACATCCTTCCTGAGCACACTGAGTAGAGGTGCAGCAGAACGATGGGACCACCATGTGCTCAACAAACACTGACTGACTGGGCGTTCTGTGAACAGTGATGGCCACAAGAATGAGACAGACAGTAGACCCCGGACTCCTGACTTCACAGGGCGACTGCCCAACAGGGAAAACGAGTATGCCAACCATAGAAATACAAGGGAAGGCACTTCCACTCAGTCGGTCCCCCAACACTTAGAGTGCCTACTGTATGCTAGGCATCGTGGGAAAGGCTTAAGAAACCCATTGAGGATTTTTTAAAAATTAAACAGCTGTCATCATGAAGCTAATAATTCAAACAGAGAGGTAGGTTTTATTGAAAAAATCATGTGAGTTAACCCTCAAATCACAACTCTGTGAAAGGCAGAGAGAGCAAATGAGAGGCAACTGCACAGTAAGTGAAGGGAACCCGGAGACAGGATTACTGAGGACTGCTCAGGACTGTCAGAGAAAGCTCCACAGAATGGCAACATTGAAAGCTCTGCAGAATGGTGACAGTGAAGCCGAGACTTGGGAGTGAAAACAAGGGAAGTGGAACGTTCCAACAAAGGCATCTATGTACTGGGAAACGACCACTAATTTAATGTGGTGGGAAAATCATAATAATATAGCAATACCAGACAGGCAAACAAAGACCAGGTAATTTATTAAGGGACTTCAATTCCATGCTATGACTTACTTACTCTGTTACTTTTTTATTTTTTTAATGAGAAAATCTAAAACATGTTTTTGTGGTAAAATGAAAAAGTTACAAAGACATGAAAAAGTTTCACAGCAATAGAGGAAGTACGTTGAGGACAGTCTTAAGTACAACATAGCTCATAAGTAATGCAGAAATAGAAAATAAAATGTGGAGTTATTACATGTTGTAACAAAAGAGTATCTTCTTTTTTCTCTTATCAGGTACAAGCTTACCCCTATGACACTCAGTCCTTTAAGGTAGTCCTGACGAGGCTGGGCTTGAGGAACGCATCCAGCTAGCACTATTTTCTTGTTCTCCTCTTGAGCTTTCCTAGAAAATTGAAAGAAGAGTGTGAATTCTTTTGCTTGTACGTATGTATACCCATGGAAACTGATGTTAGTGCATATTAGTTCTCTAAGTAATAACAAGCCCATCTAGCATGAAACTAAATTTTCTTAAGGCTGATTAAAGAAAACATATTATAATAAGATTTCTGTATGTGTCTGCTTATCAGGCCACAGATGTTATGGTATAGGAAGTATTCAGAGAATGATTGATTGAATGAATGAATGAATGAATGAATGAACAGAATATAAAATACAATTTTAACAGCACCTGTGTTTCATTTCAATAGCTTAGAGTACTTTGGTACAATTTTTCCACTTGGAATCCCGAAAAAAACTTATTAACAGAATCAAAAAGATCTGACTTCTGTAGATTGCTTAACACATCCAAGAGAGTAATGCCTGCCTCTGCCACCTGGTTTTACTTTTTTATCTGTTCCAAGCACATCACTGCACACAAATGGTTTTCTTGTCATAAATGTAATACCTTATCAAACAAAAAAATCTTTCCATTTACATTAACAATCTATACAAAGAAGTAACATCTGGTTTCCTCAAGAATTGCAGCCACCACACACAGAATCCCTGCCAAACATCCAAGAGAACCTGTGAGGTAACCAATATTTAAATCCAAATAAAAAGCCTGCTTCCTATAAAGTGATTCAATTAATTATTAAGTATCCCTAAGACATGATGGTGGGTGTTCAAGGAACCAGACTGGAGGAAGACATGCCTTGCAGTCAACAAGCTCCTGGTTTATAATAGATAAAATGTAAAACGGGGACCCCAGCAACACAGGATCATCAAATAAATAAGAGGAAGGGAGGGAGGGAGGGAGGGAGGAAGGAAGGCCCTCAGTGACCAAAAGATGTACAGGCAACCTATCATGGAGAGAAAAGAAGAGGCACGTAGGAAAAGAGAGTAAAGAGTTTCACCAAAAAATCAGGAAGAATTTGAAAGAAAAATAGAAGTTGGGGAGGATGAAAATGGAGGCAGAGAATGCTCTGGCAGTTGTTACATTGTACACAAAGACAAGAAGAAAGAAAACAGAAAGTATTTTATTACAAAAAGAATTTCTATATCAGAGAAACTGACAGGACTTATGTTGCAGAAGGAGGCCTGGATAGTATTTAATTTAGTGGGCAATGGGGACATCTCTCAAGTATGAGTGGCAGAGTAGACACAGAGCAGAGCCAAACTTTAGGAACATGACACTGGTGAGAAGCTATAAAATAAAATAAAATGAAAAAGAAGCCAAGAGATGGGGAAATTAAGTGAACACCCTTGATAAAGGGATATGAGAACCTGAATGTATGTGAAACATTCACCATTGAGAGATGAACAGAGACAAACAGATAAGAGGGGTGGGGAGGAGGAGGAGGGGAGGGGGGGGAGGGGGGGGGGGGGGGGGGGGAGGAGGAAGAGATGATTAGAGACAGGCAAATTAGTTCTCTTTCTAAAATTTACTTGGAAAACCTCAAGAAAGAATCAAAAGTGATGCCAAGATCTTAAGTCTAAGGCATGTATTAGCAATTTTCTATAAAGGGTCAGACAGTAAATATTTTAGGCTTTTGATGGTCATAATTCCTTAACTCTGCCACCTTAGAGCAAGCGTACCATACACAATACTTGACCAAAAGGATGTGTCTGTGTTCCAATAAAACTTTATTTCCAAAAACAAGCAGCAGGTCACATTTGACCCAAAGGCCAGAGTTTGCTGGTCCCTAGCCTTATTACTAAATAAAAAGGTAGCCCTTACCTGTCAAAAAAGGATGGCTGAGCACTGGAACAGCAGGTGAGAAATTCACATAGGACACACTAAAGCTGAGGACCCACTCACTAAAACCTGTCCAGTCTCTGGAAATGCAATTTGGCTGGCTGGGAGTGAAATGGATTTTCAGATTCCAAAGTGAGAATCCAATTAAGTACAAAACTTTAATGTTGTTTAGTGATGTGGAAATATTTCTATAGGATTGAAATATTGGTGTGGAAAACAAAAAAGAGGTAACATCGCCAACAACATCATTATACCAACAATAATAATCATGGTTAGAATCTATACGGCACTTCTTCAAGGTAACCATTACACAGTTAGTTACATAACACGTTTGGAAATAGTACAGCCGAAATAATACAACTGAGAAAAAAAATGCTCTGATGAGGGTATAAACATTAGATAAGGTCATAAAAAAGCCCAAAAATGATTTTAAGGGAGTACACAGAACACTAGAAAATAAAGGTTCAAAATAGAGATGCGTAAGTCATTTATTTAAAAATTATTGATGCTTTTATTGACTTTGGCTTTAAAATGAGAAAACAGACCAGAATTATAACCTAAGCCATACCTCATTCCCCAGTTATGGAATATTAATGCCACAGTTTATATGTGACCAATAAAGTAGTAAAAGCTTTAAGGCAGTTTCTCAAAGAGTATTCTTGTTCTGAATATTCCATTCTTACATCCTATTTTTTTTTGTTTAGTGAGTTTTGCTCAGGTTAATAAAAGCCAGTAAAATCTTAAAAAGTGGTATCCAGCACAGGCATGTTTTTAAAACCTTTATCTTTCAAAATATAAATGCGGATAAAAATAGGACTTTTGGTCAAGATGAAGGCGTAGGTGAAAACACTGCACCTCCTCACACAACCAAGTTTAAAGACAACAAAGTTTTAGTAACAAAAACGCAACTAAAACACAGAAAATCGAACTGTACAGAACACCACCAACAATGAACCATTCAGCCAGACCAGTAAGAGGGGCGGAGACAGAGGCTGGCAGAGTGGGATCACACAGGAAAAGGTGGCCAGACCCAGGCATGCAGGCGGTGGTTGGCAGATCCCAGGTGTGAGGTGGCAACGAGCAGTCCCAGAGAGGGCGCAGGGCAGCTGGCTTACCGTGGTCACACACTCGCACACTGATAAACCAGGCAAAGGAGCCAGCAGTGAGACAGACTGCGCAAACCAGGGCCCCAGCAATGGGAATTAAAGCCTAAAAGTACGAATTGGAAAAACTTTCAGGGGTCGAGGTGCCGAGAGAGGCTCCCAGGTTCACAAAGAGTTTGTTGGAGAGACCCACAGGGTCCTGAAGGGTGCACAGGCCCACACATCTGGGAACCAGCACCAGAAGGGCCCAATTTGCTTGTGGGAAGCAGCAGAGGGGTCTGAAATCCAAGAAAGTGCAGAACAAACACCACTGCCCCTGTCTGACCACACCCCCACATACACCATCACAACCCAGTGACTGGGTCAACCTTGCCCTGGTGAACACCTAAGGCTCCACCCCTCACTAAATAACAGGCGTGAACAGACTAAAGCATTATGGCTCAAGAAGAACAGCTCAAAGCCCCAGAGCCAATACTTCTAAGCAACCAAGAGATAGCCAACCTATCAGATGCATACTTCAAAACATTGGTGATCAGGATGCTCACAGAACTGGTTGATTTAGTCACAAATTAGATGAAAAAATGAAGGCTAAACTAAGTGAAATGAAGGGAAATACACAGGGAATCAATAGTGATGGGAAGGAAACTGATACTCAAATCAATGGAGTGGACAAAAAGAAAGAAAAAAATGAGCAAACAAAAAAGAATGAAGAAACAAGAATTCAAAAAAAAAGAGGACAGGCTTAGGAACCTCCAGGACATCTTTAAACATTTCAACATCCGAATTATAGGGGTACCAGAAGGAAAAGAGGAACAGCTACAAGTGGAAAACTTATCTGAATAAATAATAAAGAAGAACTTCCCCAATCTGGCAAAGGAAATAGACTTCTAGGAAATCCAGGAAGCTCAGAGAGTCCCAAAGAAGTTGGACCCAAGAAGGAACATACCAAGGCACATCATAATTATATTAGCCAAGATTAAAATGAAGGAGAGAATCCTAGAAGTAGCAAGAGATAAGGGGACAGTCACCTACAAAGGAGTTCCCATCAGACTGTCAGCGGATTTCTCAAAAGAGACCTTACAGGCAAGAAGGGGCTGGAAAGAAGGATTCCAAGTCATGAAAGGCAAGGATCTACAACCAAGATTGCTCTATCCAGCAAAGCTTTCATTTAGAATGGAAGGGCAGATAGAGTGCTTCTCAGATAAGGTCAAATTCAAGGAGTTCATCATCACCAAGCCCTTATTACATGAAATGTTAAAGGGACTTATCCAAGAAAAAGGAGATAAATAATATGAACAGTGGAAGGACAGCAAACTCACAGTTATTAACAACCACACCTAAAACAAAAGCAAACTAAGAGGACAGCTAGATCAGGAGTGGAACCATAGAAATGGAGATCACATGGAGGGTTAGCAACAGGGGAGTGGGAGGAGTGGGAGGAGGAGAAGTGGGGAGAAGGTACAGAGAATAAGTAGCATAGACAGTAGGTAGAAAACAGACAGGGGGTAGGGCAAGAATAGTATCAGAAATATAGAATCTAAAGAACTTGTGACACATGGACATAAACTAAAGAGGGAGAAATGGTGGGGGAGGGGTGTGCAGGGGGAGGGGAAGGAAGGGAGAAATAGGACAACTGTAATGGCATAATCAATAAAATATATATTTTTTAAATAATAATTCCTTAAGAAATTTTAAAACAGTATAAATTTCCACGTCTTCATTTTAGATAACTTTGAAATGTTAATTGCAACAAAAATTAAATATAAAGTTAATTCCTTATAATCACTAGTGTTTTCTTGAAACATATTTCTAAATTGAAAGAGACATAACCTTGTCTAGAGTGTTGTTAACTTGAGTAATATAGAAAACAAAGAAGTATCTGTTTTTGCCAAGTACCAAATGCAAACAATAATTTGTACAGAATCTTAAAATTCATGGCATCATAGAAAACACACAAGGATGACAGTATCATTCCTTTATTCCACAAGTAAGAAATTAAGATTTGAGAAGGAGCAATGATTAAGGCCCCAAGTTCCACACTTGGTGCAATCAGTGGTAGAGTTGGGATAAGTCCCCAAGATCTACTGGGTCCTTGAGTATTATACT